GGGTTCTCCGACATCTGCAGATGCGTGCTGGGCGTCTGAAGGTTTAGGAACATCTTGAACTTCAGGCTTCTCAGCTGGTTGGCTTCTAAGTTCAGAATGCTGAGGGTTTGTAAGGGGGCCAGAGCTTCCGTTTCAATCTTGGAGATATTGTTGTGGTTCAAGAAAAGAACTCCAAGGCTTTGTTGCATAGTGAGCAGGCCTCCTTGGAGGACTGTCAATTGATTCCATGCAAGGTTAAGGTGCCTTAGCATGGTAAGTCCACGAAATGCCCCAACTTCGATAACCTGAATGTGGTTGTGACTGAGATCTAACCTCTCGAGACTTTCTAGGTCCTCCAAAGAGTGGGACTCAAGGCGTTCCAGAGCATTGTGGGAAAGCTTGAGATCTTTAAGAGTGGTCAACCCTTGACAGAAATCTGGAGGAAGGACACGGAGCTCGTTGTAAGCCAGGTCCAACTTTTCCAGGAAGGTCAGAGAGGAAAGAGCCTGGAACGGAAACATGGCACGTTCAACTAATGATCCTGTAAAGCTGCAATTTAAAGACCAAAATAGAAGTAGAGGAATACATTTTGAATGGATAATTCACTTAATTCTATAATCGTTCAACACCCTCATATTGTTCCAAACTTGTGAGTTGCTTTCTTTTGTGGAACACATTAGATATTCTGAAGATGTTTCAAATGTTTTTGTCCATAAAATGAGGGTGCAATACAACATTAGACACTTTCATTGAGTAATCAAAAACATTTCATTGAGTTTCTTCTTTTGTAGTCCACAGAAGAACCAGAGAATAACCATTTTGGGTTCCATTTTTTTTCTTAGTGTTTCCAATAGTAAGAACTTTTTGCAGAATGGAAAGATTCCACTCTTATAAATAAAAGGTTATTTATTTGGCATAAATGGCTCCATGCAGAACCTTAAACATCCACTAGAAAAAAGGTTCTTTATTGGGCATCTATACAGTGCATGCCTAATTATTATGCAAGTTGATATTCTGGTCATATTGTTTTTCTAAGCACATTTGACCAATTCCAAACCATATCAATCTAAATAACTACTATTCATTTTGTCTTTAATCATTTATAAATGATATATAATTGTCTGTGAATTATGGAAATGAAAAAAAGCCTTATATTCAGGTGTGCATAATTATTAAGCAGGTTTTCTTTTACAGATAAAATGAGCCAAAAAGAGATTTTAACAAACTGAAAAGTCAAAAATTATTAAATGGCCATGAGAAGGATGCAATACTAGAAATTGCAAAGTTAAGGCATGACCATAGTAGAGCGAAATACTCATTGGGTCAGCAAGGTTAGAAAAAAACTGGTGGAGAAGAAAAGACACATTAACTGCAAAAGAATTAAGGTGAAAGAATTAGGTGTGAAACATCTCTTTTTGGCTCATTTTATCTGTAAAAGAAAACCTGCTTACTAATTATGCACACCTGACTATAAGGTGTTTTTCACTTCCATCCTTCATAGACAATTATATAAAATTTATAAATGATTAAAGACAAAATGAATAGTAGTTATTTAGATTGATGTGGTTTGGAATTGGTAAAATGTGCTTGGAAATAAAATGATCAGAATATCAACTTGCATGGTAATTATGCACGCACTGTAGTTCCGTGAAGAACCCTTAACGTCCATGGAACCTTTCTATTCACTCTTTAGTAAATAATGGTTCTTTTTAGAACTGTTCACTAAAAATTTCTTTAGGGAACCCAAAATTGTTCTTTTATGGCATCACATAGAAAGAAAAAAAAAACCTTTTGGAACCTTTATTTTAAAAAGTGTATAGTGGGAAGCTTCTTTAGATTATCAAAAAGTTCTTCACACTAAGAAAAAAAAAATGGTTCTTTTAATAGCTGTTGACTGAAAGGTTCTTTGAGGAACCAAAAGTGTTTATTCTATGGTATTGTTGTGAAAACCCCATATTGGGGAAACCCCACCTTTCTTTTTAAGAGTGTAGAACAGGGTTCCTCAAATCTTGCCCTGGAGGGCCAATGCGCTGCAGAGTTTAGCTCCAACCCTGATCAAACTCACCTACCTGTGATTTTCTAATGATCCTGAAGACATTGATTAGCATGCTCAGGTGTGTTTGATTAGGGTTAGAGCTAAACTCTGCAGGAAAGTGGATCTCGTGGGCCAGATTTGAGCATCCCTGGTGTAGAAGAACCATTTTGGGTTCCCCAAAAACCTTTCAGTAACCAGTAATCTCAAGAACCATTTTCCACTATAAAATAAACTGTTGTGCAATTGAAAGATTCCATGGATAAGGCTTGTTCATGGAGCCACTGATGCCAATAAAGAATCTTCACTTTTAAGAGAGTAGGTGGGAAAATAAATTTGCAGACAAGCAAAACTGAACGCACCTTAGAATGCACCACCTGCATGTTGCTTTGTGAAAGCAGAAGGACCCGGAGAGCCCATATCCCAGTAAAGGAGGTACTCCTCAACTCCGACAACTTATTCCCACTGAGGTCCAGGAGCCATGTGCCATGTGGAATACTGTGGGGAATGTGAGTGAACCCTCGGGATCGACAGTCCACTAGCTCAGATGCGTCGTAACAAGAACACTGATGAGGGCAGAGCTTTGAGCTCCCCACGATGAGGAAAGTGATGGGTAAAAATACGATGCAGAGCATCTTCAACACAGCTTAAAGAGTCTCCATTCAAAAAAAGAAAGAAATGGTCGTAGACGTTCTAGATTAACAAGCACACTGGTCTTGTTCGTCCTCAGTGCAGAACCGTCATGTTGAGCTGAAAAGTAGAGTCAACTGGTATATTTGGTGCATTTATGATGCCTTTTCAAACAGCTTGCAGTCTTAGATCTACAAGGATTTGTGGCTTGGCATGAGAAGTCAAATTATATAAAGAGCTCCAAATCCTTTAATCCGTTTATAATTTCACAGTCAGAATAAGTTATTCGCTTTTATGTTGGTCAACTTTCTTCCTGGACAGATGTGCATAGATCAAATGTCTGTGAAGGCATTCATTCGTGCTTATAGCAACATAGAAATTACAGCTCTAATTGTACTTACCACAAGTCGGTCTTGACGAATATGGAGTCACTGGTTGAGCAGAAACAAGCCTTAGTCATATTTCCTCAACAAATTCCATCAGATTTCTACCCTAACTTGAAAACTGAAAAATACTACATTGTGTATGGTGTACACCTGCACCCTTCGTTCTTGCTTCACTATTTAAAAAGAAATACAACACGAACACTTTAAATTCTGCACCTGGATGGAGAGCATCTCACATGCAACCCTGCTTTGAAGTCTCTGAGGTCGACTTGATTTATCCTCAAAGCACACTACATCACTCAAGAAACAAGAGTACTTGGTACATATTGAATAATTCATTGAACGGTCCATCAATTTAGAAGCAGGACGTGTAGTCTTACACTTAAGCATATGCGCTCCTCTAAAGATCTCAATAGAAACCTCAAGGAGCGTCTTACACCATGTTAAACCTTTGACGTGTACTACATTGTGGTATTTTTAGAGATGGAAACCGGTTCCAGCGGTGTGAATGGAACAATGTGTATTACTTACAGTAATAATCCAACCTTCATCCTTAATTATTCAAGATCAAGACCTTTTCACACCGCCATAATAGGGTCAAGGGAAGTCAAAACCCTTCATAGTTCACATAGCAGTGATAAATAATTCATTGAAACTCTGTTTGTGTAATTAACCCAAAGGCTGCCAGCAGTCTGTAGCTAAAGATATTTTAGATATGTGCCTAGTAAACCATATTCTAATTACACAGGCACCTAGAATTACATTTCCTTTCCGATTTCTAAAAATACTCCAAGAAGAAACATGCCACTAGAGAATAAATGCTTGCTTTTGGCATAGAATAGTAGGCCAGAATATAATCTACACTGTCTACTAAATAAAAATTGTTAAAAATATTATGGGAAACAAAACTTAAGTGTTTTTCCAGGCTTTATGAAGGTAAATGTAAGACTTTTTAAAACCAAGTAAAGCAAATTTAAGGAATAAATGGAACACAATTTGTATTAACGCTTCAAAGTTTGAAAACAACCACTAAAAGATCTCCATTATTTTTTAATTCATCAAAAAAAAAAAAAAATTATTATATATATATATATATCGAAGATATGATCTCTTAAGTAAATATATCTTGATTTAAGGATGTTTACTGAAGAAACCATTTATTCTTTGCAGAGCATGCAACATGTAATGCCATGGCTTTAATTTAAGACTTTGTTCTGATTTAAGACCTTTTTAAGGCCTTAATTTGTGTAAGAGCGAACGTGCTAATGATGCACGTTTAACTTAGGGTTAGGGATTGATGCATTGTGGTATACTGGTTTGAAGAATGTAGAAGGTTATCCAGCTTTTCCATGTACGGCTTACAGAACAGATGCATACCAATGTTGTTAATCTAAGGAACTCCCCATAGGAAGTTTAACTAATGTGGTTTTTGCAAAACAAATCAAACATTATTTGATTAGAACCCGTAAAACAGTGTTTCAGCATTTAAACCAAACATTTTTTTTTTTACCCCTTTTGCAAGCATAGTGTGTTCAAAGTTTCTGAAAAGCAACTGAAAGTACAGTATTACAGTCAGAATTTTTGTTACTTTTATTTTAGAAAATGTCCTTTGTAACGTGTGGCACTGAAGTCACATTTTGTTTAAAATACAGAACGGGCAGACAATTGTAGAACATAATCAGCCAAAAGAAAGAAAAAAAGCATAAAAAGTAAAAGCTAACAAGCTTTTCTGACTGGTTTGATTTTTTTTGACAAAATGGAATAGAAGGCGAAGGAGGGATGTAAGAGAGAAGAAAATATGAAGCTATTTCAGATGAAACACAGGAGGAAGAAGAAGGGGCAGAGAGGGGATAAGACACTGTAAGTTAGTCAAAGAAACTATGGTTTGTTTGATGGTTGGTGTTTTAAATTATCTTTATAAAGTCTAATTTAGAATGAACTCTTTTCACTCTCACGTTCTTTTCCTTAAAACATTTTTTCTTTTGTTGATCTTCCAGACCCTAGGCCCTTGGTGCATCCACCCTCGGACTACGCCGCAGAGGGGGAGAAGAGCGCTGGTTTCGACCAGCTGCTAGGCCCTTGATGCCCGTGGTGCCCTCCCCAGATGAGCCATACACCCCCCCCACTCCCCCACTCAGGAGGATAAAGACGAGTCCTTCTGTGTTTGCTGTGCTTGTGTACGTTGCATCGACTTCTGGCTTTCCACATCTCTAAAATGTTTCTCAACCTGAAAAGAAAGAGACAAGCAAGTCATGGTAAGTGATCAATATGAGAGCTGAATACAAGGAATCACCATCAGGCACTTATCCATCGATTCATTGTACTAACAGCCTATTCAGAGACAGAATTAAACTGATACATGCTTTCTAATGCAAAACAGCATAAATATATGTTTACAGGGCACTTGGAAGGAATAAGGAAAAATCTAATTCAATTTCAATTGATATTTATTTTGAAATTCAACACTCAAATAAAAACTTTGTTGTATACAAACATTTCAACTGCACATAAGGCGGCTTTGATATCAACTTTTTAATTATATAATTCAGTTTGTGCTCCAATTTGTTGAAATTTTCCAATTTGTTGGCGGTCATAATTTTTCATGACAGATTTATTCAAACCGAGATTAAATATGACTCCACCAACAGGTTAAGTAAAATATAAAAGGAATATGTAAAATAGTGCATATATGAATGTATAGTAGGGTTGGGCCGATAGACGATGCTATCGTCCATCGCCGATGGCTGACAGACATCACGATGTTAAGCTGACATCGTGATTCCTTCGCCCCCCCCACCACCACCCCCTCTCCCGCAATCTGCCGCATCCCAGTTCCATGTTCGGAAAGGAAATGAAGTGTACTATGGAAACCCTAAAGGGAATAAATAGCCTACGAGATGGGTGGATAAAAAAAAATATTTCAATTATTTTTCTCGCAATTATATCGTTGGGTAAGTATAGGCGACTGTATATAAATTGCGGGCATCAGGGAGCCGCTATTGAAACCGCTTTCGATTGCGCGCTCTCTTTTTACTTTCACTTTCAATTTTGAGATTCGCGATCACAAGGACTCTATACTATGGAGCGGCAGAACTTACTGAACATTTGACAAGATTAGATGTTTGTCAGTGGTGCTCAGGATCTGCAAATCATTCGCCATCGTCCTATCAGACATTTCTCCTTACTCTGTGTATGTGGTAAGTGAACTTTCATGTACTGTAATGCAACAGGGTACCGCGAGCAAGCGGCTAACCTTTTAGTGGCTCCATAGAACGCGTTATTTGTTTCACGCTTCGGGCACACCCCTAACCCCGCCCCGCCCCCCGATGTCATCGTCCATCACGATGTTTCACTGTAGACATCGCCCAACCCTAATGTATAGTACATAGGGCTGCAACAAACAATTATTTTGATAATCGATTAATCTATTGATTATTGGAACGATTAATCAACTAACCGTTGATTAATCAGTAGGCTTTGATCGAACAATTATATTACTATTGTACAATTGCAATTATTATACAATTATTTTTTACAATACAAATAAATATATTTGGCATACAAAATGAGATGACAGGCAGAGCGACACTCTAAATTCACCATGTAATTAGCCGTATGAAAAAGTAACTGATTCATCATTCTGCCCAAGATCTCCTTTTAAAAGTCATATGGACATTGAACAAAATAAACATAAGTGATAAGACATTTTATGGATAAATTATTCACAACATTAGCTCTCTTAAAACACCTTATAGCAGTGGTTCCCAAACTGGGGGGTGCGGCAAGGCTGAGGGATAGTGCACAGTCAGCAGATTATTTTGCAAAAGAAACCTCTGCAGGGTGATAAAGACCACACTGTGTAATTTTACCACTTATCATGCTTGCCTGATAAGTAAATAATTGAACGCAAAATATTAATTTGACATTTTAATTACCTCATCATGACTCACAGTACCCGCTTGAGCGCGTTATCAGTTGTAGAAGTTGTGGTTGAATCAATAACAGACCACTAGATGGCGCGATTGAAGAATCAGTTGTATTGCAGGGAGCCATGTAGAAATATAAACGAACGATGCATGGTTCTGCTCTAAGCATGTAAGTTACAAGTTTGTGAAAATACTGCCAGTGCCAGGTACATAAAGCAGATGATGAATACACTTAAGATTCACAAATACCAAAACAACGAGTCTACGAGCAGTGCGACGTGACAAAAGGAAATAGAACCCAGTGACACGACAAATCCATGACAGTAAACTGATGCCCCGTTCTATTTCTGACGAACTCCAGCTCTCTGACAGAAAGGACAATTGGATTTGCAATGTTCACTTTGCCGCATCCAGTGTGGTGAAAAGACAAGAAAATATGACTAGGCATATCTCGCCCTCAGATTCACCAGTACAAAGGTGGGCAATGCATTTTATTGCACTTTTCCATCTGACACGGCAATGCCAATTTCACAGTGATGAGAGTGTTTGATGTCACAAAAAAGCACTTGTAGATCAAATGGCGGCACTGCATCATATTTGTTGTCTACAATTTAATTGTTAGGAGACTTGATTAACAATTGCCATTTTATGTATTTTAAGCATCGACCAATGGAACGACTTTACTGTCAGGAGTCTGAGATACATTTGAAATATATTGCATTTTGAGAGAACTTAAAAATGACTGCTACCTTTTGTTTCAATATTGTCCATCTTGTAAACCCTATGGATGCCACTGGAGGAGAAGGAGTAACACTGCTGAAATGAAAACTATACTACTGAATTGAAAGATACTGCGTGATACTCACAATTTTGCGTACATGACTTAGAGCACTTCCCTCTTTGCCTTTGCAGTTCTCCACCTGGTACGGTGGTGAGATTACGACGTCATCCATAACAATGATGTTCTTCTCCTGCCATTTACAGTCTTTGATGCTAGAAAAAGAGATCAAACAACAAACTCTAGACGAGCACACCAACTGTGAGCAACAACATCTAACATGATCAAATTATTGCATTTATTGAAATCACAACAACTTGACCTTGTGCTTTAATTCAATCATCATGGCAGACCCCACAAAGGGAGACCACCTTGTTGAATGTAGACAGGGCTTAAATTTCGCCGTGGGATTGCACAATTCTACCGATTCCTTCACTTTCCACACTTGTAATGAGGGAAATTCCCGTAAATATTTCCACATGACTCTTGGGACAGAAGACGGAATGCATCATTTCATCGCGACTACAGAAAGAAGTTGTTGCGCCTTATTGCACGTAAACGGCCAAATACATACAAAATTGTCAAAATGCCCAATCTTGATGAGTATTCACGTAAACAGTCGATTTATTCTAAACATTGTCGGTATATAGGCTATTAAGTGAACGTAACCAGTTGAGAAACAAAACTTATGTTAGATCTGTGCATGAGGTCTTAAAGAGACAGCAACCTAAATATACCTGCTGCTGTCTGTCATAAATGTTTATTTATGCATTGAAGACTAACCTGTGTTATTTTAACGTTAAACAGATTATTCAGTTTCTGTGGTATTTCTGTACCTGAATATTACTGTTATACATACCTGAAAAACTTAAAGCACAGTTCATTTTAGTTGCATCTTGTTATTGTATTTGTGCCACTGCTTGTCATTTATCTATTCTTATTTTATTACTAACTGTTTACTTGTCTTTTTTTAGTTAAAATATATTCAATTCAGAGTTTGAAATCAAAGTTCTTTTTTAAGTATCTTCCTCACAATATAAATACGAATCATCAACATTATAAATTGTAAAACACAAACATTTAGGTTGGATGATTGTAGTGTAAAAATATGCCTAAAAAATACCCTAACACCCCCACAAATTAAAAAAATCCTCCCATAAGATAAAGGGGGAATTTCCCCCATTTTCCAAAACAAAATTCAGGACCTGGTAGAAGAAAACCATTTCTAGGCTACAGATCTGACTGCAGCCTTCCTCTCGCATGCTTTTAAACTTCAGCCAAAAGTGTTAATCAATGCATTTGGTTTCACAATGTATGTAAAGTTGGCAAATCTTACGTTTTGTGTATAGTCTGGAATAATTGCTGGCCCTCGACTGACACCCCAGCACTGATTGCATAGGCTTGGGACAACTTGTCTTCCTTTTCTGTCCTTGCCCGATTGGCAAGCTGTGGAAAAAACACGTCAAAATAAGTCAAAACTGTCAGATCTTCTCCATCTTGTATTATTTACCATCACATGTTCATCTGGTACATGATGTGTGAAATGTTTTTTTTACAAGCCACTATGATTATGTGAAACCAACAGAACCAGTTAAACTCTGCGGACCCGGATACGGGTCCAAAATCGCGTTAAAAATGTTTATGCTTCATTTACATAGCCTTCCTTATATGGTATCAGCCCATATATGGGTTCATTTGAAAGCTTGGAGTGTCTTCTTTACAAAGAATACCATTCCTTTTGGTTTTTATATTCATAAAGCAGTAAAATTAAGCTTAGAAATGTATTCGTCCCACACACGAATTTCCGCCTAACCATTGCGAATAATTTTTACGAAGAATGTGTATTTTATATATTTTTCACAAAAAAGTCAAGTCATATATAACAAGAAAGCTCTCATTCTCAGGAATTTGACGATGTAGATTAGTTCATTGTGTGACAATCACAGATCGAATTATCTTCGATAGAATCGCGATGCGAAAATACCAAAAAACGCCCTGAGCTTAAGTGGTTTTAATAGATGGGGAAAAAAATGGAACATGCAACATGGAACAAATACTTACAATTTAAAACAGCAGTATTAGCTGTCTACCAATAAACTGTAAAGCAATGCTGATGGCTGGATGTCAGGAGTGTATAAACTGTACAATGGTAAAAATGTTTCAACTGATGCAAAATCTGCAATAACATGTCTTCTGTGGTGGTAGATAACAATGCGTGGCTATTAGTGATATTAGTAATGCTAAAAACATACTTTGCTGCAAACAAATGAAACTAAACTTCCCTTACTTGTGTGGCATAAAAATTTAATTGACATACAGTCACAGGTGTGTATATATTGTCTTTCACAGCATCACGGAATGTCATTGCCACAAAATGTCATTATTGTGTGTAACGTACCAAAATATATATCTGTTCCATTTGATATGGATAAATGTATTACTAAGTGGACAAGTGTGGAGTTTGGAGCACATGCATTTTACTTTAACAATTAATTTACTGTTCACTTTAATTAAAATCTATTATTAATATTCCTGAAAATTCCCATTGCCAGTTCAAAATATCAGTTTCTCTTGGGCGCACACCAGCTATACAGGCGTTAATACTGAATGTTTAACGTTATATTCATTGCATGTATATACTTCGTAGTAGACATCCTTAACTCCATTCTGTTGTCAGTTGCTCTGTTGTCGGTGTTTCTTTGTTTGAATATGGCGCTTATCACATGCTGTGTGGTATCGGGGCATTTTAACGAGTACAATAATATAAAGTAATTTTGTAATACTTTTTAAATTTAACTCAATTTTAATGATGCTGAATAAAAAAAAAAAACAAGCCAATAAAATAACCACACTTTTACTGAAAGTAACAATAAAACTGGACAGAATTTCTACAGCATTTACTAATCTTAGTTCATGTTAATTTCAATATTTACTAATGCATTATTAAAATCAACAGTTGTGTTTGTTAACAGTTAATGCACTCTGAATTAACATGAACTAACAGTGAATAACTGTATTCTCTAACTAACATTAAGAAAGATTAATAAATACTGTAATAGATTTATTGTTCATTGTTCGTTCATGATAGTTAATACATTAACTAATGGAACCTTATTGAAACGTGTTACCTTAATATTAAATACAGATTTATTGTCAAGAATAATCATATCTTTTGGTTTGTAACCAAATAAAGTATGGAAAATTAAGTAAAGGCCCATTTGCAATAAGAATTTGAACACTAACGATAACAATATTAGCATCCACACCAACAGACGACAACGTGTATTAAGTTGATGCTTTAAAGGCTTGAGTGTGAAAGTCAGACAGATTCTGAGTACAGAGTACACCTTAAGTTGAAGTACCAAGTTTTTTTAACAAGTACAATAGGCGTTAACATTAGAGGTCGACCGATTGATTAGTTTTGCCGATTAATCGGCACCGATAGTTGATTGCTGGAACTATCGGCAAAAATCCATGGCGATAGTTTTCCAGGTTGCGTCCGTTGCTCGAGCGGCTGAGAAGCGTCCGCTGTCATTATACAGAGCGAGAGCGGCCTCTAGAGGAGGAATCACTGACACCTCGTGCTGTTTGTTCGTGTTACCTTAATATTAAATATCAATATATTATTTTCATTCACTTCTATGTAACAGAATCAGATATGTTTTTTTTTTTTTTGACTAATTATCCAAATAATGTACAGTCCTACAAAGCTATTCTTATCAGAGCATGTGAGCAGAGCATATTGCTGGAACTATCGGCAAAAATCCATGGCGATAGTTTTTCCGGGTTGCGTCCACTGCTGGAGCTGAGAAGCTCCGCTGTCATTATACAGCACGAGAGCGGCCTCTAGAGGGGAATCACTGACAGCACGGGCTGTTTGTTTTGACACTGAGGCTGCTTAAGATGCAGATTTAAAACAGACAACGAAACTCTGTGTATATAGTAGGGCTGCACGATTAATCGAATGCAATTGTCATGCACATCTTGTCAGTAAAGCCGGTTCTGTGATTAGTAGTAAATCTCCATCACGTGCTTTCAGATGGAGAAGCATTTACTACACAGAGCCGTAGTTCACTGACAAGCTATGCAAAACAATTAACGCAGACGATATAATCGTACAATTATGAAATCTAAGAAATCGTTTGCGATAATGACAGCTGTTTGCTAGGGGTGGGAATCACCAGAGACCTCACGATACGATATTATCATGATACTTGTGTCACGATACAATATTATTGCGATTTTAAATATATTGCAATTTATTACCTTTTTCCAACTTCAAATTATATCCCCAAAGGAAAACTTTGACAACATCTGTTTTAACTAAAAAGAAACGTTTCTCAGTTTATCTCACTTCAGTTTTATTGTTGCAGTGCAAAATGGGATTGTCAAGCAGACAAACTGACCAACACTTTCATGAAAACCTGTCATAAATGTTGTATGCACCTGGCAAACTCAACTATTTGTATTACAGTCTAATCTAGTCCACCTTAATTAAATGTAAACAGGTATGCACTGCTGTGCTACTACAGGTATTTTGAACAGTGCAACTTGAAAGTGTACTAAAAAGTTGTGCAGACCATTCAGCAATTGGGGCATTTGAAAGTAAATTACTGTTAAATTTAAATTAAATTAAACATGTAGTCTTACATCTAGGGATGCACCGAAATGAAAGTTCTGGGCCGAAACGGAAACCGAAAATTCTGGATGCACTTGGCCGAAAACCGAAACCGAAAATGCTTTGTAATGATAAATCTAGTGCTAAAGATATTGTGGATGAGTTCTTCTGTGTCATCACGTTCTATTAGTTCCACAGCTTCAGTTTCGGAACTTTCATGCTTAGTAACACATACAGCTGTTCCCTCACCACAGTGCAACAGTGAAAAAAAGTGTCGCGTTCTGAACGTTGTTTAAGCGACATACACCGGTATAATAATAATAATAATAATAATAATACTACAAATTCAACTAAGAACAATATAAAACGCACTAAGGATAAACGAGCTGCTGGATTCATGAATATTAATCAGGCTGTGTGCGTTTGCTTGAACTGATTCGCTGAAACGCTGAAGAATTCCAAAGAAACTCCGTTATTTTGACAGGAAAATACAACAAAAAATATTGTTTACATGTAGCGCGTCAATTCTGCATAGTATGTAAAACCCTCTTTCGCTCTCCCTCTTTGCGTGCGAGAAAAAAAGCAAAGTGACGGTGAGTCGTGCACCTTTACACTAGAGTTTACGGTACGTCAAATCAAGGTGCGCTGCGCATCCATTGAGATGAGCTGAAAAAAAGCACACAGATCTCTTTATGGAGAGTGAAACTCTGAAGCGCTCAGTCAGAGTTCGGCGAGTAAAAATATATCTGTGTTAAACTTATAATTAGCCTCCAACTTACATACTGGCGATTAAAATCTGAGAATTTATTAGCCATTGGCTAATATTAGTTATCATTTAGTCGCCCAGAGTGAAGATTCAGTCGCATATGCGAGTGATTTACTCGCAATGTAGAGGGTTGCAAATGCTCAAAGTGACTCTCAGAGGGAGCCAGAGCAGTTCTGGAGATGTTGTTCATGTATTTGACTCTATTTAAGTGTACTGACCTTCTTTTGATTAATTCATCCAAACTTTGACAAATTCCGCGTCATACAGTAAATTCCATTTATATGACTGGATTCCGCGATTCTGTCCTCATCGCGGAAATCATAGATAATACTGAGGTGTTTTGCAACTTCAGTAACGTTAGTGGATTGTGATTTATTGCAACTTAAGCAACGTCTGCTGCTGCCTTACCTTTGAGAGACAACTGATGCGTGATCACTGAAGCAGCTCCAGTTAGCAAGTGCTTTCGGAGTGAGAGTGAATTCCGCATTGATTGGTCGGACTCGTGACTCCCAACAAATCAGATGGGCGGAGATTGCTTTAGGCCACAGAGTGGTGAGTTCTGACAGGCTGCATCAGAGCCAAATAGCGCGTTTCAAAAGTAAGTTATTTTATCGGCGAATCGGTTTTGAAAATGACCGATACCGATAATCAAAAATGCTTAATATCGGCACCGATAAACGGTCGACCCCTAACACCAACTATACTGTGATATAGAGCCTTACCATGAATTAAAATGACTCATACTAGTATATAAAATTGTGACTGTACCACACACCTTTGGTTCTCAATATGATTTAAGCATAAAATGTGAGCTTACCTTACTAATATTCAAGGATGCTAGAGGAGGAGGAGTCTCAGTGCGGTCATTAATAACATCCACATTTGAAACATAGGCTAGGTTAACCAAGATGACGTCACTGAGGTTGGGCTTACCGCTGGAGGAAGGACATTCTGGGAGGAGAAGGGTTAAGGAAAAACCAAACGAAGACATGAAGTCAAGATTATGTCGAAAGGAAAAAAAAAAAAAAAAAAGAAATAGCTAGCTGTTGAAACCTTTTTTTGGGAAATCAGCACTTCCTTCTGCTGCTCTGATTCAACAGTCCCCACAAGTTTAGATAATTATTTTAAGGCCCATACACAAAACGAGTAAAGAGTCAAAATAGAAAATATAACAAATGAGACCAATATGAGTAACTGGTTGAGCAAGCCCACAAAACATAAGACAGGGGGGAAAAAAGTGACAAATGACAGGCTGAATACGTCAAAGAATCAAACCATCAAAGGTCACACTTAAGTGGGATTTCTAGATGTATGAAGGTCAACCGCTTGTGTGACAAGCAGACTAACTCATTAATCACTATGAACAAGTCAAAATCAGACTCCATCTTTGTAGACACCAGAAAAACTCACAAACACACTCCCCAGATGCTGCTTAGCCATTCAATCTATCCTTAAATCAATGCATACTGATATTTTATTCATGGATTTCTAAAGCCTCTAAATGATCCACATGATGAAAACTTTGTTTTAATTCAGTATCCATACAAATTATTATTTTTTTTTATCATGTTAAAGGGGTCATATAATGCTTTTTTAAAGATCATTATTTGGTGTATTTGGTGTAACAGAATATGTTGACATGCTTTAATGTTCAAAAAACACATTATTTTTCAAATACTGTACATTATTGTAGGTCCTCTATGACAGAGCCCGAAAGGGGAACAGAGTCGTGTGACAGAGACAGTGATGAAGCTGGTCTCTCTCGCTCTCTCTCTCACACACGCACGCACGCACGCACGATGCACAAAACTCTGCATTTGAACAGTCAATAGCAAATACTTAAACTAATAACAAAACAGTAGCTGATTCAGAAGCGCCAGATTGTCATAGCAAAGTCAGAATTACTTCCTCTCCTAGGTTCACGAAACGGTCGTCCATAAAATGCATTGCTGTTCTGTTGTAAGTAATCTTAAAGATTCCTAAATGCATCTACTTTCGGAAGGCCAAATAAAGTGCTTTTGCTTTCGCCTAGAAACACACAGCGTCTCCCTGACATGCTGCTTCAACACTAACTGCGGTTACTGAAACCACGCCTTCTTTCTTTGCGTGCACATTTGGGCGGCATTATGCTAATATTTCCACATAGTGAGGTAGACATGTGGGGGCGTGTTAGAACGAGCCGTTTTAGGGGGGCGTGGCAGAGTCTTAACTTTGATAAAGAATATCTCTTTGGTTTTGAGACTTTAATCTTTGCAACTTCAGGGATCTTATCTATGCACAATCAGCTTGTAACACTCCAAAGAGAAAGGAAAACTTGAAATTGCATCATATGACCCCTTTAAAATGTAGCAAATATGATCATCATCAGGCTTTAGATTTGTTCATCTCTCAATCAACATTGGATCGCATTGCATTATATATTTTGAAACTACAGAGCTTTGATCATAAAACCAAGCATTTCAACATCAGCTCACCAAGACGTATTATTGGCAGATATAGAGTAACAACTGATATTTATATCATTTTAGCTATACAATCAGTCTGTAATAAAGATCTCATTGATTTGCATTACAAGCATCAGACTATCATTCACTTTTTGGTCCTATAATATCGACATCTGCACCAAATTGCATATTTTTACTCAGTTTGAGCCTCTGAATAAAACCGAGGTGTTTTTCCTCCTTCCGGATGGGCTTAATATTCTCACAGCATCATCAGTATTGTATAAAGCGCTATACAAATAAAGGTGACTTGACATCATAGTATCTGAGCAATAATAGCCTGATATATTAAATATGATACAGCACGTGCAAACTTTAATTTTGATTTTTATAAATATATTACAGGCGTAAAGCCTTAAATACATGTTATATAGGCAGTACTTTCCAAAACATAATAATTATTTAAAAAAAAAAAGCCTGAATCTTGCACGCATGCCAGGTCACAGGGTGTCAACACTCATCTGGTCTGATACAACGTTAACTCATCTGAGAACAGTAGAGCTAAATCCCTCATGTATTGTGAGAAAACCAAGTGGCTGATACTCAGCCTGGCGTATTTTCCCTAAATAACACTTAATGAAAAACAAAGAATTGATATTGTGTGTTACATGTCCTGTGAGAGCTGCCATTATTGCACTGGAAAGACATTAGCTTAGCGCGCATGCTAATACTGTCGGTGGCGAGGACATGCTAATCAACACGCTAACCACAAACAACACTTCTCTAACACGTTTCCAACTATGAACCCACATCAAATCAACTTAGCAAAAAAGAACCCAAGCGAAAACAAAGCAGATCGTGTCCGAACACAACACAGAAGGTAAATAAAGCAAGAACAGGCGTTGAATGAGGCGACTAGCGCACACATAAACACGCTCGCACGGAGCCTCAGTTCACAGAACGGCCGTTTAAACGCACATATGCGAGGAATAAAGGATACTCAAAGTCAGCATCTTGGACGGGTAATCGAAAGCTACCACCTCTCCCTGCAAACGTTGGCCTAAACAGGTGAGGCAAGAGACATGGCTCCCGACACTGAAATACTCCCCCGGTCCAGGAGCCGCCATCTTCTCCGCCAGGGAAACCGGAGCGCAAGCTTTACGTAAACGCATGCGGCGGCGTGGCGACGTACGACGCAGAGGCACGTCAGGTGACAGGAAAGGGACCAGTTTATTGTTTCTTTAAATTGTATTTCGCTTAGGAATAACAGTCAAATATAGAACAAAAAGTGCATAGCATTATTTAACAATTTAGAGAATGTGAGATACATAACATATATAAAACAGAATATAAATACGGAATAAACAAGATTTGGGCAGTTACATGCATTTGAAAAGCTTTAGAATTTTTTTTTTCATTCGTTATATTTTTATTTTGTATTTTCATGTTTGGAAGGGTTTCATCAAAGCACATCTTGATAATGTTTGAGTTTTTTTTGTTGTTGTTGTTGTTTTATTATTTTCTTTTTAGTTATTCTTGACTCGTGAATATAAAACTTTGCAAAATAAATAAAAAGTTTAATTGAACTAAATTAAAATAATTTTGTTTTTCAGAAAAGGTCTATCTTGTCCATTTTTAAAGTCAGTCCAAAATAACAGAGAGAGAGAGAGAGAGAGAGAGAGAAGGGCAAATTAAGTATCAACTGATGTATTTACATCAGTACATTTATCACATACGGTGTGGATATATCTACTACTGGCCCAATTTATTATTACAGCACCATCTCTAACATTATTCTGCAAATATTCTTTGAACATGTACTCAATAAATATAAGATAAAAATATAAAAAGTTTGTCCGAAGATCGAATGAGTACAAATATTTGAACAAGATTACGACTACAGGTCCCAAATATAACGAAATATTACGTCTACATTCAAGCGATATCATTTAAAAAATGCGTTTTAGTGAAGTTTGTCCCACTGCGGCCACCGTAACGGCGGTAACGTGGAAGTTTGCAAAACAAACAAAACAACTGACAGATTACTAGCCGCAGGATCATCTTTGCCAGGCGCTTTAGTTTCTGTATCTGTGAGCTGTAAGATAATAGTATGATGAACAAGGGATCTTAATTTTACTGGTTGACGTTTATTCATCTTCCTATAATGGAGACCATATACCGCCAAGGCGTTCGGATGGCGGAGGAGCTTCAGCGGAGAACGAGAAGCTACGAGGACTTCTGGCTAATAGCTTCTCATTTGGGAGACCCGAAAGCTGCAGTGCTCCTGGTCTTTCCTGTGGTGTTTTACACGCACCGACGGACCGGCATCGCTGTTCTCTGGGTAGCAGCTTTATCAGAGTGGCTTAATTTGGTTTTCAAATGGTACGCATTGCTTTGCATCTTGGGATGTCGGAAAGCGAAGCTGAAATGAATGTCAGAGCAAATAATAGATATCTACATGTCTATAAGGAAGTTGTTATATGTAATATGTATATTAAATGATTTCTATTGAATTATTATTAGTGTTATTAGTACTGTTTTCATTGAACTGTATACATTTTTGTATACACGTTTGTAATATAATATAATACATCACTTTATGTATAATATTTATCACTTTAAATGCACTATTGATTGATATTGACATATATAAATATATATATACATACATACATACATACATATATATATATGTAATGTTCCATGGGGAAAAAAACATTTTAAATGCATTCAAAGTGATCATATATATGGGTCAAAGACAGGATGTCTCATTTTGGTGTCCGAATCAAATTAAATTTACAAATGATTTGCAAGTGATTTTATACTTGCATAAAACATATTAAACGCAAGTAAAGTCTACTTTCATTTTTCAAATAACTGTTGTGAAAATAACGTTAAAATATGGGTGAAATGATGTTCCATCGTCATTCAGTGTAACGGATATATTCTGATTTATACTTATTAAAATATATAAAAGAATAAGTGATCATACTACATTATTTTTAAAATTATTAAAAACGTATTGCTGACAAATGGATAAAACCTAGTAATATTTACATTATTTATATTTATTAAGATTATTTTACATGATTTCACATGTTGACATTTTATGTTAGGATCCTGTTTGGCGAGAGGCCTTATTGGTGGATTGGACATTCTGGATTGTTTTCTAAAAACCCACCAAAAGTCCAGCAGTTCCTGTCTACCTGTGAGACCGGCCCAGGTAAAGCAGCAAAGTAAACCTCCTTATCACACATCACTTTACCTGAACCATTTCCAGATGTGAAGACATTTGAAACGAGCTGCTGACTGACCGATTCCTCATCTGTCTCTCTCAGGCAGTCCGTCCGGTCATGCCATGGTCACTGGTGCTGTCTGGTGGGTGGTCGTCTCTTTCCTAGCCTCCTTCTTTCACACTCGCACAGGCAGGTCTGTCTTTAAGGCTCTCGTGATATAATAGAAATGTTAGTTATTCATATGTGAAACTAACTAAATTATCTCTCTCTCACAGTAAGATATTAGCTGCAGTGCCGTATCTGTTGTATGCAGTATTTTTGGCATGTGTAGGCCTCTCTCGAATCTTCATCTTAGCTCACTTCCCACATCAAGTCATTGCAGGTCTTCTGGCAGGTCAGAAATTATTATATTATATTATATTATATTATATTAATTATATTATATTTGTATCTTTATGCACTCTCTCCACAGGGGTCTTGCTGGGGATTGTTCTGAACAGGACTGTGCCTGAATGTCACCCTCTGCTGTTCTTCTTTCGCTTCAGCTTGACTTTGCTCCTTGGAGCTTTTCTAATGCATGGTGCCCTGCAAAAGATTGGGGTTGATCTTTCTTGGTGGGTACAGTGTTATATTGAGTAAATATTGTATGAAAACATTACATTTATTTAGTTTAAAACATTTATTTTCTAAATTTTCTCATTTGTTATAATTAAATGACAAATCTGTCTACCCCTAATCATAACATATTGGGCCTCAAACTATCACACACACACATATATATATATATATATATATATATATATATATATAT